TGTGTTGCTTCGCCGATTGAGGCCTCCATAGTCTCCACTTTGTCCGTCAGTGTGCCGAATAGAGAGCACCTCAGGTTTGGCTTCTGCTACAGCCAGCCTGGAATAAGGCAGATTATAATAAAGAAATGATGGGTGGCAGTCAGGAGATCCAAGCTTACGACGAAATGCAGAAAGCAGCTCTGTGCGCGCGACAGTTCCCAGACAGTTGGTCGCCTTACAGTAGTGGTTTTGCGATAGTTTCATTATGTTCTGGTGCAAATGCCGCGGACGCGCCGTCGTTTTCCTCGCCTGATTATCGCCGCGACCAGTGTCGCCTACTGTCCCGAAGTCGCCGCGACTCGGATTTCCTAACGCACATCCAAAAGTCATCAATGAAAGCTTGTGAGGTTCAGTTGAACAGGGATCTGTCACACACTAGGGACAGGGCTGAGCCGTAGCTTTCATAGAACCGGGAACTGCTGGAATGCAACTGAAAACATCACAAGATTTTTGAGTTATGGGTAGAATTTTTTTACCCTAGACGGACTTTACAAACGAAACTGCGGCCAAAGGAACTGCAAACGTTGCGGACAGTGAATGCGCCCACTGTCCAAACGAGAAATCCACACAAAGGACATTCTCACTAATATCCCCTTATGAAAGGCGTGCTGGCCGACCACATCAGCATGACAAAAGGAAGTTTCGGCTCAACATTCGAGCGAGTTCTGAACGTGAAAATGGGTTTTCAAGAGTCAGGAATTGGCAATGATTTTATGAAAAGGCAGGATAGACTAATGAATGCGCTTATGGAGCAGTTCGGCTTGATGGAGGCATTTGCCTTTTCCCCATCGATCACTGGCGATCCATCCTGTATCCTGTAAACCTGTAAGTTGCTGTGAAACTATGCAATAGCAGGAGCTTCGTTTACGCTCGGAAAGCATTCGACTAGGATGCAACATGTAATTGACAGGATCTAGCAATAGGGAATAATAGTGCAAATGCTCCCCAAGCCGAATAGCCGCCGCGTGGTGGTGTACGAAATAGACATCAATAGCATATCGTCCAATTAGCCAAATAGTCCAAAGAAACATCTGGACTTATCCGACAAGCGACAGAGGAGGGCAGGAGCTCAGTCCAGGTATCGTTCGGGTCGCTGACATGAGAAATTTTGCCAATCACGACCCTCTTACCCAAAACAATTTTGCTCGCCTTCGCACGACCCCTTCCCTTCCTCATTCCCTATCCCCTAACATAACTTGTTTATGGAGATCCTAACAGGTGTCCTCTGCTCACAACCTTAGCAGAGAGCCGGGAGGAAAGCGACGTGGGGCGCCTCCTGTTAGAAACCAAACACTACAGCGAATTCTCGAGGCCTTCAATTCTCAGTTTCGTAGCATTCAAGAAGCCCTAGAAATCTGCAATCGCAGTGTTCTTGTTATGACGTTGTTGGATGTTCAGGACTGTCTCAACCCTTCTAAGCATATGGATGGCGCAGCTCTGATTAGACTAGGGGGCGCACAGACAGTACTCAGCGAATCATTTGCGCTACCTTGTGGAGCCAATTCCAACGCCAGTTCTCAAATTCTTTGTAACCAAAGTGACTGAGCTGTCACCATTACGTTAGCTTTACAAAAGTCTCTACGTCCAATATGACGCGCTCCCCAGAGACCTGTTGTTTAACATGACCTAGCTAAAGGAATGCCCCTCCCAGTGAAACAACGCCCAAATGGAGCTTTATAGAGAACCGTCAACACCAGTTGCGGAAATCGATAAAAGTGGAATATTGCCTTGAGCCGCTCGTCACTGTGTTGATTGAGGCTTCCACAGGGACATGATTGCGCCAACTTGTGTGAACTTAGTTGTGCAGCTCCGCCCACAAAATCAGCGTAGATTGCAGAATTAACGTACCTTTTCAGGAGTTCTTGCAACTCTTTTCGTAATGGTGTGCACTCGTTGCAAGGCTTTGCTGGAGGTAGTGGACCCGTACAAACACCGACCGTGACCATATCTTTGGATTTCAACACCTAAAATCAAAATTCTTCAGAGAAAACTTTGAGTAATGAAGGAAACCCCCATGGTGATAGAGAGAAAATCTATTTGTATTATTCCGACCGTTCAAAAGATCGTTGGCAGAATTCCCTCAAAGGAGGGGGCGTACATGTTCCCTGGAGAGTGAGATCGTATCCGGTAGAAGGGACTCTTATCTGGTCTTGACTGGGATTTTTTCAGAGCAGATATAAAAATTTTTCGGCTGTTTTTGCTCGGTCATCCCATAGTCTACAGAACTCACGCCCACGACACATCCTGCCATTAAAGAGAATTTTTTGTGAAATACGACCCCGCCCCTAAAAAGCCCCTTCTTTACTACGACTACCCTTTCCCAGTCTTATACTACCTAGCGTTTGCCTAAATTCTCCTCAAAATTTATCGCTTTTTCTGAAGAGATTTTCTAGTTTCTTTGCGGAGATCCCTATACCCGCCGTAGAGGGAAGAGGGGACGGAGGTGGGGGGCAAGGGTGAAATAGCGGGGGCCGGTGAAACGGGGAAACAAAGAAAAGTCAACAACCAAAACTATTTGCCTCAAGAACAAGTGCGACTCCCCTTTCTTCCACGGACCAAATACGACCCCCCCCCCCTCGCTGGGATCTCCAACTTATGACGTGCTCCTGGCTCCCGGCTACCAGACCAGTTGGAACGCGCTTGCAAATCAACTTCATAGGGATTATTTTTGATAGTTGATTTTCGAAGGTGATCGTGGCGGCCTGCGTGCCCTCCTCCTACAAAAGCTTGTGGTGGAAGGGTGGAATCTTTAGAAAAAACTGAGAAAAGTGGTAGGATTGGGAATTGTGAAAACCCGGAAGACGGTGGTAGGCATTGAGAGGTCGCACCAAAAGGAGGGTTGGTTTTTTGTGGAAGGATCGTGAGATCATTCCGGGGGTCGTGTCGACCATTTCCATATTACGATGCTGTACCCTGAATCGACCTTACCGTACCTTTTCATTGTCCAGCGGCGTTGGTGACATCGATGTTCCTTGTGTTTTTGCAAGTATAGTGTTGCCATTATGATGTGTATAAGTGAATTGTGAAGGAGAAGGTAGGGGAGGAACTGCTTGCAGTTTCTGAAAATTGGATAAGTTACCACTAAAATAAGTAACCAGTCAACGGATCGGGCATGAAATTCGTTATAACGAACCCTAGGCATCTTCGGTGATGCGGAATAGTATCGAACTCGACTTGACGTATCACCATCCGACACGGCGTATTCTCTCCCGCGTCGTAAACTGGCGAAGTCGCCCATATGGCCTGAAAATCGGACAGTGGAGCGGATAAGAAGAACATTAAAGGTGACATGAATAAGCTCAAGATGATCTGAGGCCATTTCTTTCTTGGAACATTTCGATACTCAGCACCCCTCAGGACCCTGCCTCCGCTGGTAGAGGTAGCTACCCTCAGCCTCTCCTTGACTATTGACTCTACTCCAGCGGAAGAAGGCTATTAACTCCATAGCAGTGGGAGCAGGGTTCAGGTCGCTGAGGCGTGCTAAGCACCAAGATATTTCAAGAAAGAAATGATTCTGCCAAAACTACTGGGATTTTCGCAATGGAACTTTTCGGTTAGCTGAGGTTACTTTCTGCTCCACTAGGACGCTTTCAAGTTCAGCAAGGGCAGAGGTGATAAAGTGACAAGTGGCAATGCTCCTAACAGGGTACGTCCATGGTCCAGATTCCAGATCCCGGGTTAACTTTTGCCCTGAGTCATCCGTCCCTACGGCTGTCTATGTGCTCGCTGGAAGGAGGGAATCGTATTCACTTATTTGCGTCCCAGAAAAATGAATTTTTGTTGTCGTAGTGCTTCTGCCACTCCCGCCCCCCCCCCCCCCCTCCCCCCGCTCAACGGGCTACTTTCTCCGGGCGAAAACTAGAAGAAGAGAGGAAGCATTTCGAAGAAAATGGTAGTGGCATTAGGAAAGCAGAGAGGATATGTAAGGTAGAACTGGAGGACGGAGGGGGAGATTTTTAAGGCGGCGTTATTTTACAAAATGTTTCCTCAACAGGGCAGGACGTATCCTGGAGGTCAAGGAGACGAGTCATCCTGGGACCTTGAACTCAGCCAGTGATGCGTGAGTGCGCGCAAGGCATTGGAGAGAATAGGGTCGGGCAAAAAAAAAAGGGGGGGAGGTGGGAGCAGTCAAGGAGGTCCTCTTAGCAAGCACAGGAGAGAGCTGCGATGTAGGAAGTCACAACTAGAGTTCTCGGATGATGGTTATGCGGTAGGAAAGGAAACAGAAATAAAAGAACAACGATGAAGAGGTGAGAGGAAAGGAGGGGAGAAGAAGAGATCCTCAAGATGTTGGCGAGCAAGGCTGCGGCGTCTATTGAATGTCTACGATAGCCTGAATGTAATGACGCACAATAAAGCGCTGGGTAGATGGGCTGTTCCGCATGCCTTCATCGAAACGTCCGTATAGAGGGCAAGCATATTCATGTCCATAAAGACGTCCGACAAGAGTTAAACGGCTGACAAAAAAGTCGACCAACCTCCTCTGGAAAACTGATGGGAGAATCATCTTTTGGCAAATCCCAGGGGAAGAGGGAGGGCTGGGAGAGGTGTCTTCAGTCCGCCGGGGAAGTAGGTCGTACTTGGCCTTTGTATGGCCTTGGTTTCTTTTTTGCCGGTGCTGATTTTTCTCGTTTTATGCGCACTGTTCCCCTCCCTCGCCTCTGTGGCAGCTAAGCAAAACTGCTATTTCTGATGGTCAATTAGGGGCGTCTTTCCATCCCCCCCCTACTAGGCTGGTAAGTCGAGTATGCGTGTAATGCGAAGCAGGACATCCTCAGTGAGGCGAAAACAACCTCTTTTTTGAAGAGCGACTTCAATACAACCCCCTTGTCAAATTTCTTCAAGAATCCTGAGACCTGAACTGGGATCAGAAATCGTTCCATTTCTGCAGTCATGTCCAGTCAAGGACGAAACTACGCCTATAAGCGATCTGGGCGACTGTTCTTACGCGGTGGCCCTCTTAAAGTCGGTGAGGGTCGTAAAGGAGAGGAATGTTCGGGGGTATGGGAAGCCAAGCTTGGCGCGGTATATGGGAAGCAAAGCTGGCGCGTATTACAAGAACTAGCGAATAGCGCGGACGGCGGACACCTGGCAAGAATATCGAGAGATGTAAAGGGCCGCCTTATTGAAGTCTCTCAATACCCCTCCCCCTCCCTTTTTTTAGAAGCCCTTTTTGTAGCACAATCTCGGAACCCATGGAAATTTTTGCATACCACCTCCCCTACCTGACTATTAGGGTCTACTCAGATATGAGGACTTGGTTGTCCAGCATCTCACTTCATGCCTCAGTTATGACCCCTCTCAACCCCATGGTCAAGTGAACTTCGTTTACCCCTTTATAGGCCCACCTACCTTATCCTTTTCTGCCCTCGAGTTCCCAGGTAACCCGAAAACGCGACCCGGGAAGAGGTGAACAGAAGTACCACAGAAAGAGTGATTTGAATCCTCATTTCTTCTCAATATCTCATAGCTACTCCCACTACTCCCCATCAATGAGCAGAATACGACCTCCATCCTCAGAATATCCCTCACTACCTTCTTGAGGACTTCCCGAAGACGATGTGAAGTCTCCAGGAGATATCCAAGCACCGTTAATGCCTCACTACCCCAGTTTGAAGAAAATGGAAGACTATGAG